TTCTGAAGTCATTAAAATTCTGTTCTAATTCTTGAGTACTGGAATTTTTTTTTCTCCGTAATCAAGTAGAAAGAGTCTTGGTTTGAAAGTTAAGAGTCTTAGTTCTGATGTAAGCTCTAATTAACTAGTACTGTGACCAAGTGAGATGAGAATAAGATGGTTAATCTATGATTTTTTTTCATACCTGCTCTGATCACCCTCTCTGTTGCTATATGACCACATAAAATAGTTGAGGTGATAGAATTTTGAAAAGTCAAGTGTTTAACAAATGTAAAGTGGTTTTTCATATGTTGCACACACAGACAAAAGAAATGTGATTTCTTAAGCGTATGAACTCTCTTGCCCAACAAGACCCTAGAAGATACCCAGTATCAATGGCTCCAGTAACTAGCAAGTGCTTGGAACTGTACTGAATAAACAAATGCTCTGTTCAGAGGAAACACTAGGATAAATGGCCCAGTCTGGATAATCTGAGATACTACATTTCCTTTCCGTGACTCTTCAAGCAAAAGGTCAGGACTATTCTGAACAGCACCTTACAAATCACAAAGCTCACTTTCTCTTTCTTTCCCAACCTCATTAAACAATCCTTTCTTACATGGAATTTTTTAACTTCCAGCTCTCCCAGTGAGCTGGTCCAAGAGAGGCTAAAATGAGAACAGGGCATGAATTAGAATCAGAATTGAATGGCAGAATCAAATTTTGAGGGGGAGTTCTGGCCAATGTTTCCCACTAAGGGCTAGTTTCTGGTTACAGTGATGTGCAGCAAATGTAAGCACATGCGTGTCTGAGAATGAAGGAATGAAGTCTGCAGAATGCCCCTTCAGCTACAGGTAAACAAGGATCAGCTTCACTGAGGTGGAGCTGCTGAAGGATGTTGTGGGGTCAGCAGATGCTGCCAGCCAGAGAAGTGTCAAGAAGGGACGCCCTGACCGTGTTCCTTAGCAGTGGCCCTGCAGAGCCAGATGAACACCCACTTCAGTAGCTCATTACCCAATCCCAGGCACCATGCCAACAGATTTCACATAAGGTCTCATGAGTCAGCTATTATTTTCTTGTTGTCTTACATTAGAACACGATAAAAAAATGCATTTTTCTATACCAAAAGATATAAATCTGAATTCTTTGAGAATAAATGGCATTCTATTTTTACATTTCAAGTGGTATATAGGTTAAAACACATTTGCCATGCTTAGACTGGAAATGCACTCACTGGTGGTGGACTGCCCGATTCTCTGACTGTCACAGAGGGTTCCAACTAAGGCTACATGAGCTCTGTGATAGGCAGGATAGTGGCCTGCCACAATGGGCAGAGCCTGCTTTTCCCGCTCGCAGCCCTGCTAAGCACCTAAGTAACATTCATCTCTATATAATTCCTGAGCAACTCCAGACTCCAAATGGTCAGAAATCAAGTCCTATGTAACTTGTTTTTGTAAAACAAAGCTAATTTCCCTATTGTAGATGACTCCAATTACCAGTGATTTTCAGAACTACATTTTAGAGTCGGAGTTTACATCTGTGTTCCCCACAGTGCTATAAACAAAGTAGGAAAATCATAAAAA